GTATGTTTTTGTGCAAAATGATCAATGTGATTATGGGAACTTTCCACAGGGGATCCTCAAGAGATTTTAATTCCGAAAAAGAAAACATGGTAAGTCATCTGTATTTGTTATTAATGTAGGAATATCTCAGTTAATCTTAAATTCTGAGAAATATTTTTTTCAGTGAAGCATATTATTGTGTATTCTTCAATTTAATTCAAAATTTATTTTTTTAGGGATAAACTGGCAGTACTACAGGCACTTTCCTCCACAGTTAACAGGGTAAGTTTTTAATTTTATTTAGGGGAAAAATGTTTTTTAAAGCTCATATAACATCAAGGCCCTCTTTTACCCTTTAACCACATGGATTGTACATTTTTTATATATAACTATTTGTAATTTAACTATATAAATTCAGTTTTAACACGATAAGCAAACAAATGCAATCTCCCCACAGGACCCCACAGCAGCACATTATGCATTTCAAGATGACCCCTATCTTACCCCCCGGACATCATCAGACTTTGTGAGTAATGGGGTTTGTGAGGGAAGGGTGTCTCCTTTCTTTGGATGAAAGGAGTAACATAATTTCAAATTAAAATAATTAGAGTAAAATGGCTTTTGTTGTAACATTTGGATTGTGGGTTCTTCTGTAAGTCTTTCTTTTAGCAGTATTACTATCTTAAGTTTGTGTCCCGTCATCCATTAACCAACTAGCTTGTGTCTTTGTTCCTTCAGAAGCTATATTCCCTGTCCCAGGAGTCTGGAAGAAATGCAGCCAAATATATTATCAATACGTTTCCAAGGTTTTTCAAGAAAGACTTTGCTGAACCACATATTCCAGTAAGTTTGTACCTGAAGTATACTTGTTTTGAAAATGTGTTAAATGACTGAGGAAAGACCTGTACTTTTACAACTGTTATTAATTTTTCTTTATAAATTTTGCTATTGTATCAATGATGATACCATCATACTTAGCAAAACTAAGCCCTGGCTGATTGCTTGAAAGTTGTGGTGGTTTACCAGACTAGTTTAAATTTCCTGTGGCCCGGAGAATATAGAAAAGCAGAGTGTGGGTGTAAGGTGATGTTTGTGTAATAAGTAAAGTTAACTGCCTAACGTTTAGTTGTCAGCCCTATCACACATCAGTATGTGGTAAATGTTCACCTTTGTTTTCAATGTATCAGACAGTGAATGTCGATACAACATCACCTGGAGATCGAATGTGAAAATTGTAAGACTTAAAGAAATGAGAGACTGCTTGTCCATTGCTGGTGCTAACTTTCTACTTAAAAACTTGAAGCAGATGTAGGGTTTGAACACTTAACTTTCCAAGTACAGCAAAAGCAGTGAACAGACCAATTTAAATCAAGGAACAAGTAAAGGTTTATTCCATGTTGAGAAGAGAGGAAAAGAAACGCAATGCAACGTATCGGTTGTGGAGCCTTCTTCGAGTGTGAAGAGAACTTTTTCTTTTACATTTTTTGGAGTAGACCTCCTAAATACCTCAGTTCACTGTCTCCCCTTAAAATAAGACAAGCCTTCCATGTCTGTTGGATATGTTCAGTCCCGGTCCAGGATGGTCTCTTTAAAGTACAAGCACTCGACGAGATAGGACATGCTGTTAAATTGGTCCATTTAAGTCAATAACAGGCTTAAGAGCTGAGGTGGAAAGAGAATCTGCAGCCACACCAGGGTTAGATACTTCTGTTTTAAATATTTCTTTAAAGCAAGAGGATTGTAGTTTTCAGCTGGCCATAATTTTAAGGTTAATTTGTTTCTACCCTGTGTTTTAGTGAAGCTGTTTTCAGCCACCATGGTACATTTTCTCTTCCCCATCTGCAGTGTCTGATGCCCGAGACGTTTGAGCCTCAGATCACAGAGGTGAGTGAAGCTGCCCTCCAGGAGCGCATCAGCTTGCGGAAGGTGAAGGCGGCGGTGCAGGTCTACGACCAGCTCCTGCAGGCAGGTAAGTGGAGGTTCAGCCCAGCACAGCCCTCTATGCCTCCATGCTGCCCTCTTGGCCTCTGCGAGAGGACAGCAGCTGCAGCTGGTCTTATTTTGTTGGAGAGGTTTAAATCCAGCTTTGAAAGTAAAAGAAATGTAATTTTGAGTGAACTGTTTGAATCTGTAGGGGAACAAAACTCAACACCTTGGTTATAGTGATCTCCTATTTTTATTTTTGTAGTGGAAATGATTATTCCATCAATGATTGATTGTGCATCCCTTGTCTTAAAATGGAAATCCTATTAGTATTTGCCATTTTAAAATTCAGATATATGGGAGAAGCCTTGTATTTATTATCTTGTTGTTTCATCTAGGAGGATCTTGGCATTAAGTCAATTACATCATCTGTTTCTTAGAGCTTTATAGGTGTCTTTGACTGTAGTCACTTAAAAAAAATTCTCATTCCTTAAAAATCAGCTCCTCCTTTATGGACCATGTCCCGGCTCTGACCTTTAGGTTCAGGTTTTACCAGGGGTAATGGCTGTTTTAAGGATAATCCTTTTTTGGGTGTCTCTAGTGATGTCTTTTTGGATCCTTGTTGCAGGAACTGCAGTCTCTCTCGAAGCCACAAATGACCTTCTGGATCTTATCTGTTTTTATGGAGACCGGGACCCTGTTCGAGAAGACATGCCTGAGCAAAGGGAATCTGAAGAAGTGGTACAGTATCTTCATTGACATCAGGGCTGATGTAACATTAAACTTGACTGTCTTGCAAAGTGCTGATTCGATAAATCCAAGACCTGTTTCTAGTGAAACAATTTTCCATTGGGTGATTTAAATAAGATGCAGCCTTAGTACCATTGAAGACGGACGGATGGGAACCCTTCATAAGAACCAGTTGGCGAATAACTTTAATATTTTTACTTTAATAAATGATATACTGACCATCAAAATAAACGTGTTGCTCCCAAAGATTCACACAGCTGGCCACTGACAGTTTTTTGTGTAGCAGGTGCTATGCCAATCTATTTGTGTGATAGTGACGTAAATAAATTCACTATGCTGATTAACATATGCCCACAGGAAGGGCAGAGAGTGAGCTTCAAACCCTTGACCAGTGTTAATCGGTGTGCTCAGATTGCCCTGTCACTGCGAGTGTCACCATAGTGACTTTCCACCCTTTCACTAGTCATCATAGCTGGATCTCCCCATGAACTGGTCTGTTGTACACAGTGCAGTTAGCATATCGTTGTGAACCTTGATTAATCAGTAGTGTACCTGGTTCCACTGCTGGAGGTCCACCTGAATGTAATGTCGCCATGCCGAGTGTGGACCTTTTGACAGAGGAAAATATTTTCTGCCTTTCCGTGTCACTTGTGCCCAAAGAGCCCTCCCTCACGTGGTGATTTTAGGATTTCTGCGATGTTGTCATCCAAGTATATAATGAAGTAGTTCAAGTAGGGAGCTGCGTCAGCATGCATAGGCTGCAAAGGAACAAGTAAAAGGTTTATTCCCTGCTGAAAAGAGAGGAAAGAAAACGTAATGTTTTGGCTGTGGAGCCTTCTTCAGATGTCCAAGGCGGAAGCGTTGTTTTCTTTCTTGTCTTTTCAGCATGGAATAAACCTTTTACAAGTATATTATGGTTGGTCGGGATTGATCAAATTACATTGATTGCTGCAGACATGCACAAAATTCTGAGTTCTTTTTATGCTCTTTACACCTTGTGTATTTATAAGGGTTACTGAATATTGATTTAC